ACCACCTCCCTTCTTACCTTCTTAATGGCATTACTTTGTTAAATAGTATTCTTGAGTCATTAACCTGTCTACATCTTCAACCTTATCACCATGGGATTATACCCTCCATAACTTTACCAGTTATATAAGTTAGACTGATTGGAGGGATTCAGGGACTCCCCATGCCTGCATTCCCACTTGCCTCTCCCTCCTACTTATGCTGCCATAACCATATCTGCCGGAGCTTGCACACTGCACTTCATATTGCACTCACCTAACTTTTAGCACTGCCTATAGTCTCCCCTACATTGACTAATTGCATATTTTATTTCCCCTACTCTTCCTGGGGGGTGCTGCCTGGAGACCTCAATCTATCAAGATGTCCAGCACACCCTGCAACGTGACGTCGCCACTACCAATGACGTCCGTGCGTCCAGCTCGCCATTCTGCCTGTGTCATCTTCCATGTATGACCCGCTGCCTGCCTTCTGGTTGCCTGGCGATTGGAGGGAGCGTTGGCACCGGCTTGTCATCTCTCCCCTGCTCCCCATTTGTGTCTCAAATTTTACTGTATTTGACTCTCCCTGCCGGCCCCTGGAGGATGGGCTCCCCCTTTCAGTCTGGTCCCTCCCAAGGTTTCCTTTCTTCTTGGGAGTTTTTCCTTGCCACTGTCGCCTATGGCTTACTCACTGGGGGCTTTGGGTGGGGATGCTGTAAAGTGCTTTGAGACGATGTAATGTTGTGATAATGCGCTATACAAAAATAAATTTGTTTGTTTGTAATTATTTCCCTCATTGCATCCTGTCTAACCGTGTACTTTATCAGGGTATCTGTAGAAATCCTGATGTGAAGCATCTCTGACCTTTGCAATACCATTTCAAGCCAAATTTAAGACCAAACCGTAAGCGGATATGTTTTACCAGAATCAATACCCATACATTTACACTAAAGTGACTAAAAAAAGGTACAAACAGTGATTAAAAGGTCCAACAAATGCTACTTTAACACCAATTGTTGAACATCCTGTGGGATAGATAGATGAATAGAGAAACAACTTTTCACATTATCAAAACTGAGGTGTATACTATAAAGTGAGATTGAACAGGTTTTGAAGGGTGCATGTTAATCACTCACACACACACACAGATTAGGTGTTCATATCTTTATGGGGATCATCTGTTCTTTTTTTTCTTTTTTTTAACGGGCAAAACCCAAATCCCCACTATGGCAACTTTAACCCCTACCCAGCCCTAACCATGACAATAAGTAACCATAACAAAATACAAGACTTTTGGCTAATTTATTTAGGATTCACAGATTGGTTATAAAATTGAGGTTTCTATTATGAGGACCTGAAAAATGTCTATTTTTTGTTTGTGGCACTTTCACCACATCACAAGGCCATTTTGTCTCCACAATGTGGTAAAAACCACCCCCACACCCCCCTGAACTTTATATACACTCACCTAAAGGATTATTAGGAACACCATACTAATACGGTGTTTGACCCCCTTTCGCCTTCAGAACTGCCTTAATTCTACGTG